AAATGTAATTTAAGGTATGCGGAAATCCGAGAGCGTGGAAAGCCTATATCGGGAGGTTTCGGACTAGGCTTTGAGAGGTTGCTACAGTTGTTGTTAGGAGTACAAAATATCAAAGATACCATTCCGTTCCCTAGATGGTTTAAGCATTGTCAGTGTTGATGCCGTTGCTCAAAATTATTTGCAACAATAGGCCTTAGGCATCTTATAGAATAGTTTAGATATAACGTTCTTGTTGATTTATATGTTCTAAGTTGTTTGAAGTAATTGATTTTTCTGTAGACCTCAGTAAAAAGTTGTCATTCGCAAGTACTACGATATATTTTGGCGTTCAACGCTTTGTCTCTTAATTCCATAACATCAAATTTGCTGCGATGATACAAATGATCTTGAGGTAATGGTAAAGTTCAAGAGTCGGTATATCCTACTAGAAATAGAGAACTTTTCTGAAAGCAAGAAATCATTAACTTCTACTGGTCTCTTCTCATGTATCGCAGAAAATGTTGGAGAATTTCATGGAGATCGAGGATTTGCATATGTCAGGAGTGGAATGGTGGTGAGTGCGCGTCTTAGAGAGTAAACAAGCTGTTTTAGGGCTTAGTGAATCTGTTGTTTTAAGCTGTCAGTTTTGAGAGTTTGTTCAGCGGTCATAAGATCTTGTAATAAAATTTATTAGCTTTTTTTCAGGTAAAAGTTATTGACGGTGATATTGCATTAATACGGGTAGAATCATCAAGCGAGAAATTTGTTACTAGTGTTATACCATTCATCACTAACATAAATGGAGACGAAGTTACGTTGCGTTCGCTCTTCATTGGTGAGTTTCTTCTGCTTAGATATATGAATTCAATGAAAGGATGCTAAATATAGGTCGCAGCATCCGGGCTTGCGAGAAGTTCTTGATTCGTTATCGAAGAAAAGAACTATATGGTCTTTTAAGAAATGCTGAAACAGGAGGTTAACAAATACTCTTTATTTTTATGTCAAACTATTAATTAATCTATTTCATATTTCCAGTCGAGAAGAATGCAATACTGAAAGCTTTGAATTCGGTTACCGGGAAGTTGAGCGACTGATGC